AAAAAAAAAAAAAAAAAAAAAAAAAAAAAAAAGGAGTCGAGGCAGGAGAATAGGTTGGGAAAAGGTCCAAGAGGAAGGTAGGAGCACAGCACATAGGGCTTTGAGGTCAGAGTGAAAAGGGCAGATATTTTCCTAAGGGCTTTAGGAGCCATTGACAGGTTCAAAGCAAGACCAACACGATCCAGTCTGCTGTGAAAAGACCACCTGTCTCTGTTGTGGGGAGAACGGATCAGGGAGGACCAGGGTGGATGCAGAGGACTCCCTGGGGGCTGCTGTGGTCATCCGTGTGATAGGTGATGGTGGCTTGGATGAGGGCGTGGCCAAGGAGAGGAAGACAGCTGAAGAGTTCTTGAGTGTGTTTTGGAGATGGGGCCGGCAGCCTGTTGATGGGTCAGAAGTGGAGGCTGAGGGAAAAAGGAATACAGGACAAGCAGCTGGTGGAGGATGGTTCCACTTCCTGAGATAGGGACCTTGGGGGAGGAACACATTTGGAGAAAACAGTCCAGACTTCGGCTTTGACCGTGTAGGTGCTGAGACGTCTGGTCAACAGCCAAGTGGAGATGTCCAATGTGGAGCCAGATGCAGGGGCTGGAGAGGGAAAGTCATCCGGGGCCAGAGAAAGTCATCCAGGGCCCTCTCACTCAGGGAGAGAGGACAGAGAGCGAGGGCGTCTAGAACGGAGACTCGGGGTCGATCAGGATTGCGGAGGGCGTGACAGGGAAGACGTGGCAACCAAAGAGGCTAACACTGGAGAGGTAGGAGGCCATCTAGCCAGGGGACTGAGCTCCAGGTCAATACACGAGGCCTTCCCCGGCAGCTGAGAATCCAGAAGGGAGGCGTCAACTCCTTACAGTAAATTCAGAGTGTGGACACGAAGGCTGAAGAATAAATGCTTACTGGGCAGGCTCTGCTTTGGGGTAAGGGGGCTCACACTTTGTTTTTTAATTTTTGCTCACACATCCCTTTGCACGTTTTTAGATGAACATATATTAACATAGGAACTTCTCATTATAAGTTTAAGTGGTTGCAAAAGACGCAATTTCCTGTCTATTGTAAGCATGGACATTTTAGGGTAACATTGTTACTCTGTTCTTCTAGGTCTGCTCAATGGAATCTGAACGCCATAGCAGCCTTACCTGCCATCACCCATTTATAAAATGCATGAACAAGTCACATGTTTACAATCAGTTTTCGGTACTTCAACTCACACTGCCCCCATCAGATGTCATCCTAATGAAGTGTACTTTCTGCCTAAAAGTCGTTTATCAATCATTCTACCTTATTTCTCTGCAACAAAGGTATGTATATACTACAAATTAAAACTTCACATAAAAGTTTTTTCTGGTGACCACAAAGCTCTAAGTGTTAAAATATTTCTCTTGGGGCTTCCCTGGTGGCACAGTGGTTGAGAGTCCGCCTGCCGATGCAGGGGACGCGGGTTCGTGCCCCGGTCTGGGAGGATCCCACATGCCGCGGAGCAGCTGGGCCCGTGAGCCATGGCTGCTGAGCCTGCGCGTCCAGAGCCTGTGCTCCGCGGCGGGAGACGCCGTGGCGGTGAGAGGCCCGCGTACCACAAAAATAAAAAAAAAATTTTAAAAAATAAAAAAAAAATTTCTTTTGGATTGCTGTGTATTAGTACACGGTCAATCAAACCAACATAAATGGGTTACAATTTTTTTCATAAATAATTATTAAACCAAGAATTAAGATTTTATGGAAAATCTATCTATTAATGAGATGGATGGGGTTCTCTCTCTTTTCTTTTTCCGTTTACTTTGTGTATCCACTGGGGAAAATTACTGAGTGATTTTTCTTCTTTCCAGGGGGCCAGAGGTAAGACAGGGGAGGTGAGAAAGGAACCTGCAGGAAGCTGGGCCACTGGGGTCTTGTTCAGGGAGGAAAGAGGAAAGAGGCTACATTTCCACTGTATAGCACAGGGAACCATATTCAATATCTGGTAATAATCTATAATGAAAAAAATCTGAAAAACGGAATCACTTTGCTGTACACCTGAAACTAACAAAACCTTGTAAGTCAACAATACTTTAATTAAAAAGAAAGAAAGAAAGAAAGAAAGAAAGGAAGAAAGAAAGAAAGGAAGAAAAGAAAGAGGCTGCGTTTCTAGGATTGGCACCCTTACAGGGATCTATCCCACGTGTCCTTGGGAGGTCTTCATCTACCTCCAGGTGTTCCCATACCCCAGGGTGAAGGTGGCCGGCTTAAGACAGGGTAAGGCCCACCACAAGGGCTGCCACCCTACCTCCAGAAAGTAGGGGCTCAAAGCACCTCTCCAGGGACGCCTGACAAGCTTTCTCCACCAGGGCTGGTGTGAGCAGGTGGCCTGGCTGCCAGGCCCTCGTTATCTGTTGAAACTAATCGGGTTTCCTGCTGGCTCTGGGACAGAGGCCGCCTCGGGCATGCAGTTGGTCAAGTCCGGCCGCGTCCCCTGGGGTGCAGCTGTGAGGGATGGAGGAGCACCTCTGTGGCCTCCAGGGGAATTGCAACACGGGCTGGGGCGGGTGTGCGGAGAGCAGGAGGTTGAGACCATCAAAGTTACAGAAACTGGTTCATTCCTTCTGTTCCTAGTGGAGTGGTTCTGGACATGTGACCTCACTTCTCTGGGTCTCAGTTTCCCTATCTGTAAAGTGGGGATCACAACAGTCTCTTCCTCTTGAAGTTGTTGGGCATACCAATGGGCTGACGCATATAGAGCCCTTACTGCTGCAGACACTAAGAGGTCAGGAAGATCTCTTACTGTGACTGTCACCGCTTTTGATTCTCTCAGCAAATTGTGTGAGGCTCACAAGTCAGGAGAGACTGTTTATTTTTTTAAGATTTTGTTGATGTGGACCATTTTTAAAGTCTTTAATGAATTTGTTACAATATTGCTTCTGTTTTGCGTTTCGGTTTTTTGGCCGCGAGGCATGTGGGATCTTAGCTCCCCGACCAGGGAATCGAACCCGCACTCCCTGCATTGGAAGGCAAAGTCTTTAACCACTGGACCGCCAGGGAAGTACCAGGAGAGACTGTTTAGACCACTAGTGTTTGAAAGGAAACGTCTGTGTCTTTAAGGATTGTACATGGTGCTGGAAGCAATCGATGGCATTGGATCTGGAATTACAAAAGCTCAGTAGCTGGTATTTATGACTCTAAAGATAACACAGGGCTTCCCTGGCGGCGCAGTGGTTGAGAGTCCGCCTGCCGATGCAGGTGCGTACTACCCCCCTGCCTGGAGTGTTCATGCAGACCGCCTTCACCTCTCCCCTCCTCACTTGCCCCAATCCCCTTGGGTAATTTTTACCCACTCTTCAGGTCAAAACTGAGACGTGGAGGAGGAGAGCCTTCCCCGACCCGCACGTTGGGTGAGGTGCCTCCTCTGTGCATCCCACATCACAGCACTGACCGTGCTGGTCACAAACTGTCCGTTTGCCCATTTGCCTCCCTCACTAGACTGACAGCTCTGTGAGGGCAGAGACTGTGCCTGTCCTATGCCCTGCTTTATTTATTTATTTATTAAAAAGAATGTTTTGGGCTGTGCTGTGGCATGCCGGATCTTAGTTCCCTGACCAGGGATGGAACCCGTGCTCCGGCAGGGCAAGCGAGGAGCCCTCACCCTGGACCGCCAGGGAATTCCCCTGTGCCCTGCTTTATCCCCAGCACGCGGCACTGGATCTGACACAGCCAGTGTTTGTTAAATATTTGTGGATACACGGGCTGATGAGTGAACTCAACCAACTTTGGCAAAGCCTGGGCCAGCGTTACCTGGACAAACCCAGCAGCCATCGTGATCTTTGATCTGACCCTGTCATTCCCTGTGTGAAACCTTCTGTGGCTCCCTATTGCCCCCCAGACAGAGGCCTTCCCCTTCCAGTCTCTGCCTAGCTCTCCATCCTCATTCTCACCAGCCTCCACCATGTGAAATACTTTCAGTTCCCCAAACTGCACATCCTGCATATTCTGTTCTCTGCATAGAACATCCTACTAATCAATTTTTGCTTGTCTAACTCCTTGAATTCTCAGTTCAGACTGACAGCGTTCCCTGCTCCATGGCCTCGGTGCTTCTCTGACGGCTCACTATTGGCCCTTGCCCACTGACTGCCTCCCCCAGAGCCTAGAAGCTCGAGGCGGGGGCGGGCAACCCCGTCTCCTTCCCTGCTGTCTCCCAGCATCCAGCAAGGGGCCTGCCTTGCAGCATGCTCAGTGAAAGAACGCGCTTCTGGGTTTGATGTGCACACCAGGGCGCGTCTGCCTTGGTGTAGCCCCAGGGTTCAGCCCGGGGCCAGGCGCCCAGGGCACCCTGCAACTGTTTCAGGAAGGCACGCAGGGTGGGGAGACTTGAGGAACGCTCCCGATAGCTCCAGGGGAAGTGAAGGGAGGGATGACAAAGCCAAGTGTGAAGGATCTGAGAAGCTCTTAAGAAAAAGAAACCGTAAAAGGTAGCCGCCCCTTTCCGTGGCTCTCACAAAGATGGTGGCGCAGAGCCACGCCCCTCGCCAACAAGGCCTTCCCACGGTGCGGGGTGGGGGGCTGCGGGCGGAGGTGACGCACGGATCGGAAGTCCGTCCCCAAGCTTGGCCGCCCGGGAGCCCTAGCAGCGTCTGTGGCTGGCCGCGAGCTGGGCGATGCATCCGGCTGGGCTGTTCTGGGTCGCCGCGGCGCTGCGGCTGCTGCTGGCGGCCCACGTGGCGGCGGCGTTCGAGCCTATCAGCTTGGGCATCGCCGTCGGGGCCGCGTCGGCCCTCACCGGCTACCTGTCGTACAAGGACCTGTACTGCCGCTTCGCCGAGTGCTGCCGAGAGCAGCCGCTCAACGCGTCGGGTATGGCGGGTCTGCCCCGGAGGGGCTCGAGGGGCGCGGGGTCAGCCCCGCGCGGGCGTCAGCGCCCGGCACCCCGCGCTTACCCTGAGGTGGGGTGGGAAGGAGGAGGGGTGGGGTCTCGGCCCGGACTGCAGCCTCGGAAGCCGTGTCTTCGGAGACAGATTCTCCGGATCGTGGGGCTCTGCCCAAGTTCCTTTCTAAAAGCTTGGATGCCTTGGGATGACAGTAAGAAGAAACTGAAAGCAGCAGCCCTTCGGCGCCATGTCACCCCTGTTAAGTAGTTTTCAGATGTGCGGCGTCTGCCCAGAAAGCCCACATTTGGCCCTCGGTTTTCTTACAAGCCGGAAGGGGTGGCTGGGGAAATAGCAAGCAGCTCAGTGAAGAGAGGGCCAGTCCTTGGATGAACGAACACATTTAGTTTCCTTTTCTAGTCCATTTCCTTGGAAGTGGCGTCGTGTGACTGCAGCCCGTGTGGTTCTGCCTCAGCGCTAACCCTGGGGTTTGGCAGAGACCCTGCTGGACCGCTTGCTAACCTGTGCCTCTCACTTTGGCCAGCTGGGGAGAGCGCTGCTTTCCTGGTGCACGTTTAATGTGTATTTTTCTCTCTTGTTCCCGGGCTGGCTCCTGCAGCCCTCAAGCTGAATTTGGAGGAGAAGCTCTTTGGGCAGCATCTGGCCACAGAGGTGATTCTCAAGGCGCTGACTGGCTTCAAGAACAACAAAAATCCCAAGAAACCACTGACTCTTTCCTTACACGGCTGGGCCGGCACGGGCAAGAATTTTGTCAGCCAAATTGTGGCTGAAAATCTTCACCCAAAAGGTCTCAAGAGTAACTTTGTCCACCTGTTTGTGTCGACCCTGCACTTCCCTCACGAGCAGCACATAAAACTGTACCAGGCAAGGAATTCTGTTATCCCATCCCCTGGCCTCTCGCACCCATCCGGGCGACCTGCTCCCTGACTCCGGCCTCTGCTTCTTTCCTTTGCACTCCGGTAGCCCCAGGCCCCTGCACACTTCCCCCACCCTGGCAACCCTTTGCCATTTGCAGAACTCTCCTGCAACTTTTTTTTCTCGCTGATTCCAAAATAATACAGCTGGGTAGGTGATGTTATTTCCATTAAAAGATGGAGGCAAGAGCGGCAAGGCGACTCGCTCCTTAGAATTTTCGTGCAAATCAGAAACTGGGACCCAAATCTCCTGACTCCCAGTCCGCAGGGTAGCTGTGTTGCGCAGCGAGTATGTTCAGTATCCCCATCACAGCCCTTGGTTAAGTGGAGCAGGTCACACAATTCGCTTGGACACGACTTCATTTAAGGCTGCTTCTGTGATGCAGCGTCAGCTTGGCCCACATTCTGGGCGTTGCTATGTTAAGTCGTCCAGTAGGGCTCTCATCTAAATGGACGTCCTTGTGAAAGTTCGCATTCCTACTGTTAGGTGAGGACTGAAATAAGGAATAGAAACTGAAAGAGGAAGTGAAAGTGGATATTTGCCCCATAAACTGTAAGACAGGGAAGACTACCAAAAAGAGAGAATGATTTTCTTATTTACCAAATTCTGTCATAAATCCCTAGAAATACAGGAAGAAAAGCTTTTCGTGAAATGTCATCTAGGTCAGCACCTTTGTTCACTGCACCAGTAAAAGGCACTGGTCTCGGGATGCTGTGCCGGTCTTCGCCTAGTTTCTTATGCCTCAGTATGTCTGGTAAAATTAACGTGAGATTCCCAGCCACAGGGAGATGAAAATTACGGGTTGGTTAACAGTGAAATGATCAATATTCATGTATCTTAGACCCCGATACCTTTAAGAAGTCACATTTGGCACGTCATTTGAGTTAGGAAAACACTTATCTCTCTGCCAGTTTCCACTTCTTATACATGAAGTTTTGGAAAAGCTCTCAGACAGTGAGTGGAGGTTAGGGTGCGATTTTTCTTTGTTAAACCCCAGAGAGCTCTGATTTTTCACCTTCCTGAGTATGAGGCACAGTGGAGCGCTTCTGCTCCCCTGGACATATCTTTTGAGTCCCTGCATCCTATTTCTTCTCTTATGGTTGGTCTAGGACCAGTTACAGAGGTGGATTCGGGGTAACGTGAGTGCATGTGCGAGCTCCGTGTTCATATTTGACGAGATGGATAAGTTGCACCCGGGGGTCATTGACGCAATCAAGCCGTTCCTAGATTACTACGAGCAGATTGACGGTGTGTCTTACCGGAAGGCCATCTTCATCTTCCTCAGGTCAGTGGGAGGTGTTTCTCCGAGGGCACACAGCCCTTCATTCTGCCAGGGCTAGAAGGAGGTCCCGGCAACCTCAGCAGGTCCCAGGGACAAAAGTGCCAGCCTGGCAAAAGTGACTTACGGACTTCTTTTACTTTGGGGTTGCTGGTGTCAGCACGGCACAGGGCAGGGGAAGGGGGAAACGAATGAAGGAAATAGTAGATAACAGGTCATTTCATTACTTGCACATGTTGCCTCTGAGGGTTATAAAAAGTGGTAGCGGGCTTCCCTGGTGGCGCAGTGGTTCAGAATCCGCCTGCCAATGCAGGAGACACGGGTTCGAGCCCTGGTCCGGGAAGATCCCACGTGCCACGGAGCAACTAAGCCCGTGCGCCACAACTACTGAGCCCTGTGCCCTAGAGCCTTCGAACCACAGCTACTGAAGCCACAACTACTGAGCCTGTGCTCTAGAGCCTTCGAACCACAGCTACTGAAGCCCGCACGCCTAGAGCCCATGCTCCGCAACAAGAGAAGCCACCGCAATGAGAAGCCCACGCACAGCAACGAAGACCCAACGCAACCAAAAATAAATATATATTAAAAAAAAAAAAGAAAAGTTGTAGCATGACACACCGAGTTCTGAAAAAGATTTTCAGTTCCTGAGGGCAGGTGCTGTTTTTTTTGTCTAGTAGCACTTAGTAAATATTCCCTGGTTGAGAATAAACCTTAGAGAAATATCACAATCTGATTCCATATTAGAAAACTCATAGTGTTTCCTGATATGTGACATTTGTAAGAAGTCATTACAACCCTTTAATACATACAGACTGGCTTATATAGTTGACTTTTTTTTTTTTTTTTGCGGTACGCAGGCCTTTCACTGCTGTGGCCTCTCCCGTTGCGGAGCACAGGCTCCGGACGCGCAGGCTCCGCGGCCGCGGCTCACGGGCCCAGCCGCTCCGCGGCATGTGGGATCTTCCCAGACTGGGGCACGAACCCGCGTCCCCTGCATTGGCAGGCGGACTCTCAACCACTGCGCCACCAGGGAAGCCCTATATTTGACTTTGAAACAAGCTGTATAGGGACCTCCCTGGCGGTCCAGTGGTTAAGACTTCGCCTTCCAGTGCACGCGGTGCGGGTTCGATCCCTGATTGGAGAGCTAAGATCCCACATGCCTCGTGGCCAAAAAACCAAAACATAAGAAAACAGAAGCAGTATTGTAACAAATTCAATAAAGACTTTAAAAATGGTCCACATTAAAAAAAAAAAGCTGCATAAAAACTGAAAAAAAAAAGAATAAACTTAGAGCAGGTACGTTTCCTGATTAGAGAGAGAAGTCTTTTTTTTAGCTAATTTTCATTGGAGTATAGTTGATTTACAATGTTGTGTTAGTTTCTGCTGTACAGCAAAGTGAACCAGTTTTACGTATACATATATCCCCTCTTTTTTAGATTCTTTTCCCATATAGGTCATTACAGAGTATTGAGTAGAGCTCCTGTGCTATACAGTAGGTTCTTATTAGTTATCTATTTCATGTATAGTCGTGTCTATATGTCATAGACAGAGAAGTCTTAACGTGTGATTTTAATCTTCGTTTCTTTGGCAAACTCAGCAATGCAGGCGGGGACCTCATAACTAAGACGGCCCTTGACTTTTGGCGGGCAGGGAAAAGGAGAGAAGGCATCCAGCTGAAGGATCTGGAGCCCGCGCTGTCTGTCGGCGTCTTCAATAACAAACACAGTGAGTGCCCCCGGCGAGGAGCCCTCACCCTGCCCGCAGTCACCGTGTGTCTCTTTAAGCCTTTCACGAAACCACAGCATCCACTCGCCTCCGTGCCTTGGTTGAAGTAGGGACTTTTTCGGAGGGCATTCTATTCTACAAGCTAGTAAGCAGGGGTAGCCAACCGATCCTTACATGAGGCTTGACCGAAAGAGCATCTTGGGGGCTAGAGCCGTGAAGAATGTGCTGGGCCCTGTTAGAGCAGCGAGCTTGGCCGGGTGACAGGGACAGTAACAGGCGAGAGACCCAGCTGTGCCTTGTTTCCCAGGTGGCCTGTGGCACAGCGGACTGATAGACAGAAACCTCATCGACTACTTCATCCCCTTCCTGCCCCTGGAGTATAGCCACGTGAAGATGTGCGTGCGGGCAGAAATGAAGGCCCGCGGCTCTGCCATCGACGAAGATGTCGTCACCAGAGTGGCCGAGGAAATGACGTTTTTCCCTAAAGACGAGAAAATCTACTCAGACAAGGGCTGCAAGACTGTGCAGTCACGGCTGGATTTTCACTGAACGCTTATCCAGATGGGGTGAGACGCGGCTGGGAGCCCAGGGAACTCGGGGCCTGGCCTTTCCAAGCACTTTGAAGACCTCTTCAGGGTTTGCACATTTGCACCTGTGGACTTGCGGGATCTGGAAGGTTCTAAGGGTTGATTTTTGAAATACTCATCTGTTAAGGGTACTTGTCATTTTGCAACAGCACAGCAACCCAGCTGTTCATTGTGGTTGAAGATGAACTTTTGAAGTCCCTCCCCTCCCCTGCCACTACCACTTAACTGACCTTGACAGAATGACAGAAGTGCCTTGAAAACAGCTGTGTGAGTGAGACCAAGGACTCTTTCTGACCCAACGGTACCCACACCTCAGAAGCTGAACTGAAGGAGTTCGAGGGCCCTGCTGCAGTCCAGGGAGCACTGGGTTTTCACCTGCCAGAAACATTCTTCTCCTCTAGTTCTTTTTCTTCACAGAGCGCGTTCACCGACTTGAAGTATTTTCAGGTAAAAATCGGTGGCACCTTCAGGCACAGTGTCGTGTGGGAGGACCTGGGCCCACAGGCCGAGCACGCAGCTGGGGGAACCGCCTGTGTGTGGCATGGGGGCTCCACGCCAGGGCCCTGCAGCCAGGCGGGACGGGCAGGACCTCTCCGTCTGTCCGTGGCTTTGCTGCTGACAGCCCTGGTCATGGAATTCCTTCTCCCAACTCTCACTTGGACTTACCGCAGCCTTCCTTGTATCACCTCTACTCCTTAACTTCAGCCTCGGCCAAATGTAGCCCCAGCCATAACATCCCTAGAGTCGGATCAGAACGCGACTGTTGGCTTTGAGTCCTTGGTTCCCACGGTGAGATGTTTGTCTGTTACAGTTTACACGTGGGTCAGTCTCTCACGTGACTGCACAGAACCATTTGAAATCCGTAGGACAGAGTCATTCTCCACGGATGACACGTGCCGACTGAACGGTCAGCTTGCAGGTTCTCGTTGCCAAAGTGGAAGTATTGGACACTACAAGTGCTCGAGTTTTCAAGGATATGTATATTTTTTATAATGTTCTTACTTCTGAATCTTAGATAATAGAAATATGGGACATTGCTCATTTTAAAACATGGGAAGGAGTAATTGCCTGTTCCTTTATCAGATACTCGTAAGGTTGCGCCTCATCCTGGTGTCATCTGAGAAGGATACCCTGCATGGCAGTGTCGGGCTGGGCTGCCCTGGCCACTGGGAAATACGACTTCCACTCCAGCCAGTGTGAACCGTTTTATCTTGTAGTTGCAATGCAACTGCAGACATGTAATGAGAACATGCAGCTTTTTTCTATATAAGACGTGGCAGAATGAATGTTCCTCCCATATGGCAATGCCTTATAGAGGATCACACTTAGTCTTTAAAAAATGCCAAGGTGGGGCTTCCCTGGTGGCACAGTGGTTGAGAGTCCGCCTGCCGATGCAGGGGACACGGGTTCGTGCCCCGGTCTGGGAGGATCCCGCGTGCCGCGGAGCGGCTGGGCCCGTGAGCCATGGCCGCTGAGACTGCGCGTCCGGAGCCTGTGCTCCGCAGCGGGAGAGGCCACAACGGTGAGGCCCGCGTACCGCAAAAAAAAAAAAAAAAAAGCCAAGGTGAGGCTTAAAATTTTTAGTACATGTTCTCAAGTTGGAGCTAAGTTATGTTTCTTTTGTCACCTTTTGGGTGTCTGGTCAGGAGGAGATAAGATTTTTTGTTATGATGCAATAAACTCAACACATGTTGGTTACCTTTGGACTGCTGTTACTGATTTGTAACTTGAAAAGGCCACAGTTGCTCATGGCCCAGTCTCCCCACCCCACGTAAGATGTAGACGAACTTAAATTGACCTACTGAATGTCAAATAATAAAGCCTAAATTTTATCATGTGAGACGCCACTTGCAGATTTTTTTCCTGGTTTATTTGGTAGCTCTGAAAAGTCTGAGCTTAGAATAAAGGCTCTTCGATAACTCAGGTGTCTTTAGGCTCACCGTACCCTGGACTCGCTGGTTGGCATTCTTTACCTCATAAAGAATCAGTATTTACCTTAGGGACTTCCCTGGTGGTCCAGTGGTGGAGAATCTGCCTTCTAGTGCAGGGGATGTGGGTTTGATCCTTAGTTGGGGAACTAAGATCCCACATGCCGCAGGACAACTAAGCCCACGTGCCACAATCAGAGAGAAGCCCGCACGCTGGAACTAAAGACCCGACGCAGCCAAAAATAAATAAATAAAATAAAATAAAATAAAAAGTATTAGACCTTAAAAAAAAATTTACCTTAAAGGCTGTTATCCCCAAACAAATACAAAGTTAAATTGGATTAGATGATGGGTTCTACTCCATCGAATTTTCATGGATGAAAATATCATCAGAAAGAGCTGGTCGTCTTCCTAACAAATATATTCTCCTAAAATTAACATAGGAAGGAAGCTGAGGCACTCAAACGTGACCCACGGCTGCCATTCTGAACCTGAGCAAGGCTGAGCTCAGACCAGGAAACCTACTTGCCTGGTCTTGCCTGCCCTGAAGCGGTAAATAATGAAATCCTTGTTATGTTAACCAGATTTCAGCTTAATCCCTTAACCTGGGCTCTTATTTTTGACAGTGATTTGTTAACACCAACTCTTCCCAGGACTGAGGATGGAGCCCTTTCTAGAAAGCTGAGACCCTCTTCTCCATCACGTCACCCACTCCTATAATTTCCCAGTTGGAGGTGTTCATCCCGTGAGGCTGCCCTTCTCCGTCTGGGTCTCAGGCTAATGTCTCTTCTGCTTCACCCCATGCTGCCTCATCTCAAAGACTGAACTTTCCAAGGGGCGTCAGGGGACCCCTGTGTTCCCTACTTAGGGACTCCCAGGTGCTGGGGCTGCCATTTTCAGATGAATGGTTAGCCCTAATCCCGGGCCGTGACAACAGGCCAGCTTCAGGTCAACATCAAGCACCTTCCTACGTTCAGTGCTGCCTTAGGGGGCCTGGGCGGGTGGGTAGCCATGAGGCAGAGGGGTCCAACCCGTCTTCTGTGCCTGCTAATAACTGCCCCTGCAAGCACTGTGCAGACGCTCATATCCCACAGCAGCCCTCGTAGGCACATGCGTGTGTTGCACAAAACAAAGCGTGTTTACGTTCCGACACTGCTCTGTACTCCTGCCCGGCTTCTCAGCGGGAGGTATGTCTGTAGACTTGAATGAGCTCCACAGCTGAGTGTCGGGAGCTCCAGGGCCCCCCTTGACGGAGTGTGACCCCATGGGCAGCTGAGCAAGGAGCCGGAGCTGCCAAGGTCCTCGGAGTCCGTGTCACACTCCCCTCCATTCCAGCCTGGGCTGCACAGTTAGGTCTAAATTCACAGCTTAGGGACTTCCGTGGTGGTGCAGTGGTTAAGACTCCACCTGCCAACGCAGGGGACACGGGTTTGAGCCCTGGTCCGGGAAGATCCCACATGCTGCGGAGCAACTAAGCCCATGCGCCACAGCTACTAAGCCTGTGCTCTAGAGCCTGCGAGCCACAACTACTGAGCCTGCGTGCCACAACTACTGAAGCCCACACGCCTAGAGTCTGTGTTCCACAACAAGAAAAGCCACCGCAATGAGAAGCCCATGCACTGCAATGAAGACCCAATGCAGCCAAAAGTATAAAATAAAAAAAAAATTTTAATTAAAAACAAAAGCAAGTCACATGAATGTTTAAAAATAAATAAATGAATAAATAAATTAATTTTATTTAAAAAGAATCTGCCTACCAACGCAGGGGACGCAGGCTCGAGCCCTGGTCCGGGAAGATCCCACATGTTGCAAAGCAACTAAGCCCGTGTGCCACAACTACTGAGCCTGCGAGCCACAACTTCTGAGCCCGAGTGCCACAACTACTGAAGCCCACATACCTAGAGCCCGTGCTTCACAACAAAGAGAACCCACAATGAGAAGCCTGCACACCGCAACGACGAGTAGCCCCCGCTCGCTGCAACTAGAGAAAGCCTGCACACAGCAACGAAGACCCAATGTGGCCAAAAAAAAAAATTTTTAAATTAAAAAAAATGTATTCACAAATCATACACAATTTTATTGTAAAATGGTAGCTGTTTGTATTAATAAATAAAAACACTGTTCTCAGCATCCTGGGGGGCAGCTGAGCTTTCCTAGAGGTTTGGGGAGTTCTGATAAAACAATGAAAATTAGTAATCAGTGAGGAAGGTTTTAAGAAAATATGGCAAAACCTGGTACAGAGCGTGTGGCTCATTTAGGAATGGAAAGCAGAGAAGGGCCTTTGCAAAGCTGACTGACCGGCCAGTGACAAGCTGCAGATGCTTTTCTTTCGAGGAAATTCTGTTTCTAACAAATTGTTCACAACGTTACTAAGATCATTCCCACAGTTCACAATGCTACTGTGATGAAAATTCTTGGGGAGGACATTTAGGTCTTGTCTGTGATGGGCCTGAGTGTGTCCCCTTACACACTTGTCCTTCTATAAACACTTACTGCCCTTGCGATGGTCATCCTGGGACAGATCGGCTCGCTGCTAGAGCCTCCGTCCCCAGTACAGTGACACCATCCTACAGAAGACAGGCTGAGGACTCAGGCTTTTTAGAAGTAAAGACATCACAGTGTATGTTGTAATGACAGGAACTTAAAAACACACACAAAGCCAACAACTTAAGAGTCTGAAAAGTTTCTTCATAATGTTAAAAACCATTTTAAATAAAATTATCACATTTTCAGTAAAACTGATTCATCCTTCCTTGAAACAGAAACACCTGAAATTAAAACATGATTTTTACAAAACCATGAGGCCTGGCACAGGTGGCCTGGGGGCTGGCTGCTCCCGCTTCTGCAGGCTCTGGGGCTGTTTCCACCTGTCATGCGTCACCGACGGCCCGCAGGCCCTGCCCGATGAAAATAACGCCCAGGAAAACGCCTGTCCTGTCACACCGGAATAATTCATTTTACTCCTCTTCCGGGACCAGAGCGGGGATGCGGGAAGCGACATCTCTGGTGCCGTCAGTCATCGTAGTAATAATCTAACTTGGTGAACACAGTTTTGCAGCCTTTGTCAGAGAAAACTCTCTCCTCTTTGGGGAAAAATGTCATCTCCTCGGCCACTCTGCTTACAATGTCCTCATCAACTTCGTAGCCTCGGGTCTGCATTTCGACCCGGATGCACATTTTTAGGTGTTTATATTCCAGGGGGAGGAAGGGAACAAAATAATCAATGAGATTTCGGTCAATTAAGCTGCTGTGCCAGAAGCCACCTGGGGAAAAGAAAAAGGTGCTGTTCATCCATTGTCCACCCACCCGTCCACCTGTCCGCACACATCTGCTGGGTGTCAGCCATGAGGTGGAGCCCCGCACCTGCTCTCATGGGGCTCACGGCCTAACTAGCAGACTAGCCAGTGAGCTCACCCAGGGCAACCACGAGGGGTGATGCTCCTGTGAGAGCCAAGGGCAGGGTGATGCTGCAGTGGGCAGCCTCTGCCCACTGAGGCAGAGGGAGGAAGTGGGAGGCCTCTCGAGGTGTGACCGCTAAGATCTCAGGCGGGTACCCTTCCTATGCATTTATCAAAATTTTTAGATATGAAAAAAAAAAAGGATCTGAAGTGGGAAAGGGGCTCACCACCCACCCTGGAACAAGCAAGCAGGCAGGCTGAGTAGGAAAGGGAGCAGGTTCACAGAAAGTGAAAGGTGAGAAGAGTCCCCAGGGAAGGACCAGCACTCTGGAATCTTGGAAATTTGCGACTGGCTGGGGTGCCAGCAGCTGGGATTAGCAACAGGGTAGAGACCCACTGCGGCTGCCGGCATGTCCCAACCCTCCAGAGTGTTTGCAGGACCAAAAGCTAGAATCCTCAGTAATGTGTGAAGACAGCGCTCTGATATGGCCACAGGGCTCGCACTTTCCCTGGATGAGGCCTGCCTCTGCCCAGTCTCGGGTCCTCTGAGATTCCCGGCCTCTTGACCCTCCCACTTCCCCTTCCGAGACGACGCAGCACCCATTGGACCATACTCAGCATTTCTTCATGAGGACGGTTTCCCTTCCGCCTTGCCGCTTCACCTCTGTGCCTTAACCCTGGTCTGCCTCTGACACCAAGTCCATCCTGTATTTTTCCCCCACACCACCAAGTGGTTCTCTGAGCCCACCTGCTTTCAGCTCAATTCTGACACTCTCTACCTGGAGACTCCGTCAGATCCCACAGGTTAAGGACGCAGCCCCACAAGACCGTCCCCTCCTTCAGCCACCAACCAAAAGTTCGGGTTGTCACCTGTGCTTCTGAGGTTCCAATGACCCCCTCCTTGGGTTCAATTAATTTGCTACAGCAGTTCACAGAAACTCAGAGAAACATTTTCTTACTAGATTACCGGTTGATTATAAAAGGATATAACTCAGAAACAGCCAGCTGGAAGAGATGTACAGGGCAAAGTATGTGGGAAGGGGCGTGACCCGTCCATGACCTCTGAGCACATCACTCGCCCCAGCTCTCCACGTGCTCACCAACCTGGAAGCTCTCCAAACCCTGTCCTTTAGGGGTTTTATGGAAAATTCTTTACATAGGCACGGTTGATTAAATCACTGGCCATTGGCGACTGATTCAACCTTCAGCCCCTCTTCCCTCCTGGGAGGGCTACAAGGGCTGGAGACTGAAAGTTCCAACCCTCCAATCAAGGGCTGGTTCCCCTGGAAGCCACCCCCCACCCTGGTATTTTCCAAAAGTCACCTCATTAACACAAACTCTGATGTGGTTGAAAGGGGTTTGTTAGGAATAGCAAAGACACCATTATGGCTCTCATCACTTTGAAACTCCAAGGGTGTTAGGAGCTCTGTGCCAGAAAATGCAGATGAAGACCAAATATACTTTTCTTACCATCAATCACATCTGGGGTTTATTCTTTTCTTGCCCAACGGTGCTTTGCACACAACTGGTGCTCAATAAACATCTGACTGCCTGGAGGCGGTGGGGTCTGCGGCCGTGGGAAAGCCGCACACGGAGCGCCAAGCAGCAGCGGAGCAGCGGCGAGCCGGACAGCCCTGGCCAGCTCGTTGCCCGCAGGCCTGCCCTGTGCCGGGTGCGCCGGAGGCCCGAGGCAGGGGAGGGAGCAGAGCCAGGCAGACGTGGACCGGCCACCCAGTAAACAGACGATCCCGGGTAGTGCCGCGGCCTGCGAGCACTGAGCTGGGGCCATCAGGCAAGGAGAGCAGAAAGCTAATAGGCCAGGGAGTCAGGGCGACAAGGACCCGCCACACAGGGGCCCCGAAGGGTGCGCAGGTGGACCGAGTGGCTTTACAAGCCGCCAACCGACCAGCGAGCGGCCACTCCGCAGTCTGCACCCTCAGCCTGACCCCCCGCCCCGGAACTGCACTGGAACGTCAGCCGCCTGCTCTGCATCTCTGCCTTCAGACGAGTCATCCCTCGCCGGACGCGCCCCTCTTCATCTCCCACGCTCTCTGCAGACCTCCTCCTCCTGCAGGTCGTCCCCTAAACGGCAGTGCCACCCTGCCAAGTGCTCAGGCCAGATTCTCGATTCGTCTCTCTCATTCCCACACACAGTCCCTTAGGAAATCTTATTGTTTCCACCTTCAAAATACATCCCAGTCAGACCCTGTCCCACCTCCCCCACGGCTGCCACGCTGGGCTGAGCCGCCAGCATCTCCCCCCAGGTTGCTGCAGCCACTCCTCGCTGGCCTCCGCGTCCCTGCTGCCTTCAGTCTGTTCTCCACCCGGCAGCCAGGTGGTCCTGTTAAAACTAGGTCCAATCAGGGAACTGTCTGCTCAAAACCCTCCAGGGGCTCTGTCTTCCAGTTGGAGCCAAGCCCAAGGCCCTCCTGTGGTTCCCCAGGCCTTCCACAATCTGCACCCCACCCCAAGCTCCACCTCTCATCTGACCTCCTGTCCCCTGCGTTCATCCTGGCCCAGGCACACTCCTGCCTCAGGGCTCTCGCGTGTGCTGTTCCCTCCCATGGAATGCTTTCCCCTCCCGTGTCCACATGGCTCCCTCACTCCTCAGGTCAGCCCAGATGTCACCCTCACAGTAAGCCTTCCCTGACCACTGTATTTAAAACTGCAGGGACTTCCGTGGTGGCGCAGTGGTTAAGAATCTGCCTGTCAGTGCAGGGGACACAGGTTCGACCCCTGGTCTGGGAAGATCCCACATGCCACGGAGCCACTAAGCCCATGCGCTACAACTACTGAGCCTGTGCTCTAGAGCCCGCGAGCCACAACTACTGAAGCCCACGTGCCACAACTACTGAAGCCCACGCGCCACAACTTACTGAAGCCCATGCGCCTAGAGCCCATGCTCTGCAACAAGAGAAGCCACCGCAGTGAGAAGCCCTCGCACCGCAACGAAGAGTAGCCCCCGCTCACCGCAACTAGAGAAAGCCTGTGCATAGCAACGAAGACCCAACACAGCCAAAGATTAATTAATTAATTAATTTAAAAAATTTAAAAATAAATAAAACTGCAGCTCACCCCCGTCTCACACCCCCCAACCCCTATTTATTGGTTTACTTTTTCCCTATTGCGGGAAAAGGGGAAGATAAATCTCTACCTCTACATAGACGTGGGTCCCAGCATCTGACACGTTTCCTTACTTGTTATCATTAGGATAGAGAGTTAAGGATTTCTGTTTTGGCTCACTGCTGTGTCCCCAGTTCTTGGACCAGTGCCTGACATCTAGTAGGTGCTCAACAAATACGTTGAGTGAACGAATGAAAGAGTTCAGCCATCTGCCTAAGGCCGGAGTCAGGACGTGGCTGAGCCAGGCCTGCCCAGATCCGAAGCTCATCCTCTGGAACCCTCTGGAACCTGCAGCATGGGTTCTAGGCCAGAACCACTTGCTGTGGTGTTCCGGGGCTGGGACTTCTACTGCATGTGTTCATACTTCTGGCATGCCAAGAATCTACTCAACATACTACAAAATATTTTGTCTTTCACCGTTAACATTCCACTTGCGTGAATTGACATAAAATACCCCATTACTGTTCACGTAACTCGGAAGTGCTATGAATTTCTCGGCGAGTCTGTTTCAGAGGAGACCTTCTGATTTACAGTTTCAGGAACGAACCTGAGCAAATGGTAGCAATCAACCCACAGGGCTCACGGATCTGACCCAGTGAGTGAGTCTCCAACATGCTGTCTTTCCACATCCAAGGGTTCAAGGCCAAAAGTGAATGTGTCAGGTCACTGGCAAAGCAATGAGCTTGGAATAGAGACACCTAATAGGCTGTGTGTCCTTGGGCAAGGGGCTCTCTCTCTCTGAGCCTCAGTTTCCTCATCTATAAAATGAGGACAATAATAGTTTCTACCCCAGGAGGATATTATGGAGACTAAAGGAAACATGCAGGTAGAGTTTCACACAGTGCCCAGCACAGAACAGGGGCCCAACCACTGCTTGGCTGTCACTCTCGGGCACAGACCCTCAGGGTTCTAGGTTAATGTGCAGAAAGAAAGGGACCTAACGGGCCCATCTCCTCCATCAGAGGCTCCCCAGCAGCCTTCCTTGTTCCACCACCCGCTTTTACAAGGGAAAATGATTTGGCTGAAAAAACCAGGAAACGAGTTTTCAAGATCTTGATGATCAACAATGTCCCTATTTCTTTAAAACAGCATCTCCCAAACTTGTGTATGTGCAAAAGTCACCTGGAGTTTGTTAACACAGATTCCCTCAGGAATTTGGACTCAGTAGGCCTGGGGAAGGGACTGAGAATTGGTATTTCTAACCAGCCCCCAGGTGATGGTGAGGTCATCAATTTAAAACTTAGGGGCGCGGGATCATGAAGCAGGGGGATGTTGTGCTGGGAATGGATGGCCTCGCTTACTGTTGTTGTTTTTTTTTGGCCGCACTGCACTGCATGTGGGGTCTTGGTTCCCCAACCAGGGATCGAACCCACGGCCTCTGCATTGGAAGTACGGAGTCTTAACCACTGGACCACCAGGGAAGTCCCCCCACTTACTGTTCTTGTTATTGAAGGCCGACACAGACAAGGCATGCTCCATATCTCTGAGCTTGATCTCTTCCCTCTGCTTTCCACTTCTCCAGAAATCTAAAGCCACGTCTGTGATCCTTTCTGCTCCAGCATTGCTGCAAAAGAATTCTAGTGAATAAGGACTGGTGTTTTTCCCCCGAAGCCCCCAGGCTGGGGCTCAGAGCTCTTCAAACCATGTCCCAGCCCCGACTTTACCTGAGAAATATGAAGATGGCTTTCTGATAGGAGACCCCATCCAAGTTGTCATAATAGTCTAGGTAAGGCTTGATGGCATCTATGAGGCCAGCATGCATCTTGTCCATCTCATCAAATATGAAGACGGACCTCGCACAGGCACTCACGTTGCCGCGAATCCACGACTGTAACTGATCCTGAGTGACAAGGGGGAAGAGCCAATACAGATGCTCAGAAGTGCGAGCGACACCACCAAAGTGAGCATTATTAACGCTACAAACGCCTCTACGAAGGCTGCATTTACGGACTGCTTCCTGTGTGCTCCCCACTGTGCTAAGAACTTTATATAAGCTCTTTTGTTTCTCACCACAACGCCACACGGTGGGCATTATCATACCCATTGTACAGATGAGGAAACTGAAGCACAGAGAGCATAGTCACCTGAGATTACAAAATTTGCCCAAGATTACAAAATTAGTATGAGACAGAGCTAAGATCTGAATCCCACCCTGCCTGATTCCAAGGCCCCACACTCTGATTGTAATTCTTGTCCTGCAACATGTCACGTCAATGCTGTGTCACTGAGTTGCTGGGCCTTTGTCGTCAAAATGGCAATGTTAATACGTATCCTGTGTACACCAGCCTTCTTGGAAGAAGGCAGAGACCAAGTAACCTCTTTTCTCATTCAGTCCTTAGATCAGCCTGGAGAAGGGGCTCTAACTTTCCAATGGGGGAAGTGAGGAGAACTCCAGAGCACACACACTTGGGGATGACTGTGGTGAGGCAACACTCTTGAGTTTCTGGAACAATGCCTGGAGGTTGCTGAAATAAATTTGCTTAAGTGGAACACTCCCTAAGAACATATTTAGGTACTTCTTATATTAAACAATCAAGATAAGAAGGAGAAAGGACTCTTTACATCAGAAATTTGAACTATGGTTCTATACAGTTCTTTCCCAGATGTAAGGAGAAAGAATTAGCTATCTGTTTCTGAGGAAAAATCTGTAAGTTACAATGACTTGACTTCTTATGATTTGGCGTTTTGCTTGGCTACTCGGACCATGGTTACAATGTTCCATGGGTACATATTTAACTTAAGCAGTAACTCTGCTCTGTCAGTATGGACTAACCTCTATTTACAGAACGAGAACCTTAGGGGAGCTGAAGTGACTTGCCCGAGTCCACAAAGCGAACCACCTTTTTTTTTTTTCTTGCGGTACGCGGGCCTCTCACTGTTGTGGCCTCTCCCGTTGCGGAGCACAGGCTCTGGACGCGCAGGCTCAGCGGCCATGGCTCACGGGCCCAGCTGCTCCACGGCATGTGGGATCCTCCCGGACCGGGGCACGAACCCATATCCCCCGCATCGGCAGGCGGACTCCCAACCACTGCGTCGGCAGGCGGATTCCCAACCACTGCGCCACCAGGGAAGTCCCGCGAACCACCTTTTAAACAAGGATTCCTTCATGTCTGGCAGGCTCCAGCAACCAAGGTCTTCCCATTCTGCTTCTCCCACTTACAGACAACAACAGAGAACATGTATCGAGCACTCACTACAGGTAAGATGCTGTTCTAGGCACTGTTCATACAGTGTTTTATTGTGACCTTCCAAAACCCATCAAAGTAGTTGCTACTGTGTTCCCTATTTCACAGATGAGGAAACTGAGGTGTAGAGAGGTTAAGTAACTTGCTCAAAGTCACACAGCTATTAAACAGTGAAGACAGAATGCTAACTAGGATGACTAACTCATCTCTATTTGCCTGGAACTTTCTCAGTTGTAGCACTGAAAGTCCCACATCCCAGGAACTCCTGGACAGTCGGTGACCCTGATGCTCTCCCAAGCCAAAGGGAAAAATGTGTTCGCACAAGTGAGGATTAAAAAAGGCAACAGTTAACATTGATTTGAACGCTTATGTGCCAGGCATCCCGTTACATACTTGACACACAGAGCTCAAGAAATCCTCACAACTGCCATTTGACAGACGAAGAACCTGAGTCTCAGGGAGGTCTTGTGACCTTCCCACAATTACACAGCTGTAAGGAGCCTTGGGGCTCAAATCCAGGTGTGCCTGCCAACAAAGCCAGACTGTTGGACAGGGAGTTAAACCGTAAAAGCAAGCTTAGGCCTCCCTAGAAACGTTTCCTCTTTCATAAAACATGTCAGATTTGACAATCTTTAAACTGGATTTCATTATGTCCATCTCTCAAATCCTATGACCCCACTTACTATCACACTGAGCCTGTTTTCAGAAACCACCATGAGCTTTGATGGTATAATTGCTTCCTGCATCTCCAACCCTCTGTAAGTTCCACACTTTTCAAAGGGGAACTGATGCATTTGCCGGGCTCACTCATTTCAACACGGAACTTCCAAATCCCGTTCCCCAGCAAAGAAACCCCAAACCCAGCATCACCCAGGAAGGATCCCGAAATCTGGCCCTTGCCTTATACAGGGTGATGTCGGAGATGTGAGGGAAGTGCAGTGTGGCCACAAACAGGTGGACGTAGTCACTGTTCAGACCACCCTCGTAAATATTCTCTGCGATGATCTTGCTGACAAAATTTTTGCCGGTGCCCGTCCACCCGTGTAGGGAGAGGGTTAGAGGTTTCTTGGGCTTCGGGTTGCTTATGAAGCCAGACACAGCATTTAAGATGACTTTCTTTGCAAGATGCTGTCCAAAGAGCTTGCTGTCCAGATCCTTCTGCAGCGCTGGGAAAAACAAAGCCAGTCAGGCGGGGAGGAGGGGACACACGTGGCAAAATGCAGCCCAGTTTACAGGCTCATGTGAAAGCCAGCAGAGCCCGCTAAGCTCTTCAAGCGTCTAGTGAGACGCGGATGTACGTAAGCACTTGGCCCAGGTGACCGGCGGGTCCAGCAGGCCCTCTGTCTGCTAGTCCTGCCCGTTCCCGAGCCCTCCTTCCTGAAGAGACCCTTGGCTCCAGTGCCTCCGCCACCAGCGTGAGCCCCTCATCCCCGCTCGGTCCCTCCCACCCCACGCCCGGCAGGAAAAGGGCGGCGGTTCGGCCCCCCACTGCTCCGCGCCGGAAGAGTCCCCACCAGCCTTCCCGTCTCCGGCGAGGAAGGAGTAAAAACTCTCTGGAGTTAGTTTCCAATCGTCCACACTCCCAGTTTCTGAGCGAAGGTGCCCAAACAGCAGCTGGCCTCCGCAGCTCTCCGACCAAAGTCCGGTCTGCCTGTGGCCGTGGCCCAGGAGCCAGGCCCCATCCCGCACTCCGGTTCCGGGTCCAGCCCCCGCCGGCCTCAGCGCTGCCCGGGCTTCCGGGCCTCCTGGACCCCAGCCTCTGACCCCCGCCCCAGCCCTAGCACCAGCCCCCAGCCCCCAGCCCCTTCCCCATCCTACCGTCCCGGCTGAGGCTCTGCTTCTGGCTGCAGCACTCGGCGAACAGGCAGTAGAGGCGCGGGTAGGAGATGTAGCCGGTGAGGACGCCGGCCAGGGCCAGTCCCAGGCTGATGGGCTCCACCGCCCGCACCGCCAACGGCGCCAGCAGCACCAGGCCCAGTGCGGCCCGGCCCAGCTTCATGCCCGGACCCGCGCCGTCCCGCGCGTTCTCACGCCTACCGCAGACCGGCGCTACCGCCAGACTGCACTTCCGGTCCCTCCCGCCGGGGTCGCTATCTTTGTAGCGGGCGGACCTCCTCCGACGCCGGCGGCCGCCATCTTTGTGAGGGGCACGGCCCTTGCCTGCTTTGGGCGCTGGGGCCGCTGGAGGGGCCAATTTTGTTTTTAATAAAACGTTTTTGGGAACAGTTTTACATTGATAGAAAAGTTGACAGGACAGTACAGGGAGGTTCCATATTACCACACCTCCGCCCGCACAGTGTCCCCTATTATTAACATCTTACATTAGTATGTTACATTTGTTAAAATTAATGAACTTATATTGCTAGATTGTAACAAACTAAAGTTTCTTCATATTTCCTTAGGTTTTACCTAACGTCCTATTTGTGATCCGGGATCCCATCCAAGATACCACATTATATTTAGTTGTCATGTCTCCTTAGCTCCCCTGGGCTGTGGCTGTTTCTCAAACTTTCCTTGGTTTTGATGACCTTGAGAGTTTGGGGGGAGTACTGGTCAAATCTTCTGTAGGATCCCCAACTACTGGAATCTGTCTGATGCTTTCCTTATGATTAGACTGGAGTTACGGGTTTTGGGGAGGAATATACTTTACAGAGATAAAGTGCTATTTTTATAACCTCATATCAAAGGAACATACAGTCAACATGATTTATGACTGTTGATGCTGACCTTCATCACCTGGATAAGGTAGTGCTGGTCGGGTCTCTCCCAGGTAACGATACTTCCACTCATTCATTCATAATTTTGAGGATCGCCTATGGACTCGATCCTGGGGATTCAAGAAGAAAACGAGGCACACGTGATTCCTGCCTTCAGTGACCTTGCATTCATTCGAGTGAAGGGGAAAAAAAGCGAGAAGAAAATCTAGTTTACAGATGAGAAAACAGGCTCCGAGGCAAACGGATTTGTCCAACGATTTAAGGAAGCTGTGAGCAGGGCTCAGATCTGACTCCAAAGCCACACTTCTCTAATCACACAATACCTGCTTTAAATCAGCCCAGGAGTCAACCAACCTGTTCTTTCCTCGTCACAACCTGTGTAACTACCTCAGGGAAAATGTCACAGGTGGGCCATACCTGACAGCTCAGCGACTGGAGCCTGCCCACCTCTCTTAAACTAAATGAGAAAACCCCTCTCAGTGATTGAATTTTGCTTTTGAGCTGCCCAACCCCAGACTCTGAACACATTACCTAGCGTTGGTATAAGAAGACGCAATACAAACAATAAGGCTGGGTCCATTTCATATTTAATACTTAAGTGCTAAAAGTGATAGAAATTGTTTTTTCTTTCATAATGAAAAGAAACAGATAACTTTGTAAAAGTCAGAAAATACCAGTGTTCCTTTGATCTCAAGCTAGATTTTTCTGCTGTCAGCTGGATCCACTGTAAACAGTGACGGATGCATTTCTGAACCCCACTCCAGATACTTGAAAACAGGAGACATGATTGCATATATAATAATAATAAAACCACAATCGAAAGGGTATTATCTCACCCTGAAACACACAACTGTTTCCTCCTGACCCAGGGCAAATATTAGGAGAAAGTCAACATATTTACAAACGAGATTTAATAATGCTCTCAAGAATAGAGTTTGTCCCCAAATAGGAAAACTACACATTGTTTCAAAAGGTTACAAATTCAGTGCCTGAAAAATCCAGCAGGTAAGCAGCAGGACGGATAGCGTCTGTTTTGGGAACTGTCTGCTAGCCAATGAGCAGGCTTCTGTCCAGGAAGCCTTTTATCAGGGGGAATAAAGGGAGTGAACGACACTGTTTATACCCGACTTTGCACCTCTCCCCTTTAGCCTCCCTCAGTACCGCCTGTTCATCTTCTTGAACTTCTCGTAGTGATAGTCATCTGTGGCCTTCTCGTTGGCAGGACGCTTGCGGTTGGGAGGGGACCCTGAGAAGGAAAAGAGGAAAAGCTGTTTGCCATGCTGGAAGCCAACAACAGGCGTAGCTCCACGTAGGCAAGGACGACCATGCCTGTCTCACTCCCTACAGGAGCCCCAGTGCCTACTCTGGTGAACAGGAACATAGTAGGGCCTCAGTAAGTATCTGTTTTTGGGTGAATAGCAATAAACATGGTGGAGTCAGGTGCCAACCAAAATATGCTGACTTCAGTGTCAGACCAGGTGAGCAGCAGTAGCTACGCTTCATTGAGAGCTTGACAACGTACCAGGCATGGCACTAAATCTGTTTAGACAAGACTTCCTTTCACCCACCCAGCAATCCTAGCAGGGGCATGTTACCATCTCTGCTCAGAGAGGTTAGCTGATTTGCTCAAGGTCACTCAGGAAGTGAAGGTAGGCTGAGGTGAACCCTTTGGTGCCTCCAAAGTCCCTGCTTCCTAGGTATTAATAATAGGAAGCTCTTTCGGAATCAAAGACTACACAGCTAAGGTGTTACAGAAAATAATTTCTCAAGTAGGAAGGAAGAAACAGAGCAACAGGCTGGATTTTCAGAAGCCTCAGCAAATTTAGCATTTCCTTAGAATCATCCCATTGCTGATGAGAAAGATGACACCACCTGGTGCTGGTGAGCACGTGGGAAAGGGGCACTGCTGGATGTTGCTGGCGGGAGAACAAATTAGGATCATTTGGTGAGTTCTCACAAGGCAGCTTAAGGACATGACATAGGCAAGAATGATCATCATTAAATAGGGAAAACTGGGAAACAACCTAAGTGTCCCGCCAGAGGGAAACGGTTAGACTATAGGACATCTATCTATACAGCAGAACGTGATACGGCCATTGAAGGGGAAAATGTATTTACTGTCATGGAGAGACAGGCAGAGCACACTAAAAAGCTGTGAGATCCTATTAAGTGTGTATACAGAGTATGTATATTTTTTTAACAGTGGGCAAGGTTATACACAGTCAGCCCTTGGTATCCCTGGGTCCCGCATCCGTGGATACGGAAGGCTGACGGTGGGACTTGAGCATCCACAGATTTTGGTGTCTGCAGCGGGTCCGGGAACCAGTCCCCCACGGATACCCAGGGATAACAATATATAAAAATGTTAACAGGGGCTGTCTTGGGTGGTGAAATTATGATTAACTTTTAATTTACTTTTGCTTGTTGCAATTTTCTAATTTTTTGAGTCTCTATTATGTTTGACAGCCCGGTGAATCCTTAGAGCAACCCCAAGTGGTAAGTTTCATTACTATCCCCATCTTAGAGGTAAAGAAACTGAGGCTTGGAAAGGGGAAGGCACATGACCATGGTACAGAAAATGGACTAGAACCCACATGCCCTGACCCCAAAGCCCAAGCGCCGCCCCTGCCGAGTCCCTCCCCACCTCCATGGGCCCCGGGCAACGGTCACGCCAGGCAGCCCGCGGCCTCTGCTGTACTCACGCTCAGGCTCCGGCTTCTCTGTGTCGCCCACTCTCAACGGTCGGGCTTTGGGCTCTTCTTTGTTTCTCCGTATGGGAGCGTTGAGCTCCTCGTGATAAACTGGACCAAAAGAGACCAGGGGACGGGTCAGACAGACTTTGGGAACCCAGGGACCTCAACCCAATGGCGTGGGCCGCGGCTGCTTCCCCAGACGCGACACTTACATCGGTTGTGCTGCACGTAATTCACAGCCATGTTGGTGGGCACAAAGGATGTCTCACTGTCTTTCTTCTTGTTCTGCTGCTCTGCCAGCAGACGGGCCTTGGCATCCTCCGTGGAAATGATATTTTTTATTTTAGCACTATGGGGAGAAAGGAGCCACACCGCAGTGAGATCCTCACACCTCTGGCCTCAGGTGGAACTGACTAAAGGGGCTGGCAGCCCCCCCACTGCAGAAGGACGTCATCTTTCTTGGGGCACAGCTCCCTACAATTTACCAACTCCCCTGCGGCCAGACTGTCACGGAGCGCTCCCAGCATCGGAGATGCAGGAGTTACTCTCTTCTGATCAAGAGGAAATTGAGCCGGAGGTCAGGTGAACTGACTAAGGCTCAAAGCTAGTAAGGCCAAAAAGGAAGCGAGAACCCAGAAGTCTCCCAACTTTCTACCACACCCGAAGATGACTATGACCACTGTATTTCCTCCATAAAAATCCCCTTTTGGAGCAGATGCTTTGTAGTAAAAATGAAAGAAGGATCACGGGGTGGGTGAGCCTTTATCATTGCTCCTGCTAGAATAAAGCAGCAGAATACACGGACCTGAAGAGAAGAGCTGAAGAGCTGTCAACTAAGGCTAAATAAAAACATTCTTGTTTTCGGCAGTCAGAGTCCCTTGTCTCTTTAACTACTTCTGACCAACGCTTCAGAGAAACTCCTGGCAATAACCATGTCAGCCTGCCACAGAAGATAGTTTGTATCTGTGGGTTTCCAAGGAGACAGGTTAAGAAACAGTCCCTTAACTTTTAACTGGAAAGCAGAGAGCGCGTCTTTTCTGCCTAGGGGCGGGAGAGAGGCACGACCGTGGGTCTGAAACGCACTCGATGCCGAGGTCCACCTCCGGGATGCCGCTCAGCATCTGGTTGGACAGCATCTCCTCAGTCTTCTTTGCTGAGGAAACCCGGATGTTTTCCGGCAGTTCGTAAAGGCAGTCCTCTGCATTCTTTGGCTTAACTTTCTGTTCCTCGTGTTCCACGATCCCTTTCCGCTTCTTCAGCTCCGTCTCAATGTACTTCATCCTGAAATGAGATACCCAAAGGCCTCAAAAAGGGGCAGGAAAGCTCACAACTGGTGTCTTTTAAGTGAGTGGGGTCCCCAGCTCTGGCTCACGGAGCCGTGACGGTTGATGATGAAGTTGCCATCGTTCCATGGAGAAAGAGAAAAATAACTTGAGTTTTTAAATCAAGCTAAAATTTTTCAACTTAAAGCACCAATATATATTATGAGATTCTGTCCCACCACACCATGTGTAAGGTTCTTTGAAGACAAAAAGATAATGGGAGATGGCAGTTTGTTTAACAGCCTTGCTGGCAAAATGAAAAACAGGCAAGTCCATTGTTTATCCCTGCAATTTTGGGGGGATGGAACATTACTAGTCAAGGAATCTAAAATTCCAAGAACCACACTTTTAAAGAATTTTTGAGTTTTTCAAAGTTCTCAAGCCTCAGGCGGTGGGGAAAGGGGAGGCAGGGGCACGAGAGGGGCCAATTTGCTGTCTTTGGATAAGTCTAGAAATGTCATCTGTGACAAAATATCTTGGACTCTGTCTGGCTGGAGCCCTCCCCCGATCTCTTACTGATGAACAGACTGACACCTACATGTCAGCGTCCTCATCCCTTCGGTTGGTTTCTGCAGAAAATGACGTCCCCAGATGGAGGTCTTCCTCTTCACTGATCCTAAAAAAAGAGAACAGTGAAGCAGAGCCTTAGAGTCACAGCTAAATGAGGCTGAGTGTGATGTTACATGAATAAAACAAGTATGCAACGAAATGCACAACATCCTGTTTATGGTCAAGAAATATATACATACATATGATACGTAAATAGAAGGAACTCTAGGAATATATGCAAGCACCCTGACGGCCTCTGGAGGTATCTCGGGGGAATGAGTAGATTCGTTTATATTTCGCTTTTGTATTGTTTGTATTATTTTTGTAATTGTTTCTATGTTTTCCTCAAAAAAGAAAAAACAACCTCCACGTGGGTTTGAAAGACAATATATAGCGGCTTCCGAGGTGGCGCAGTGGTTGGGAGTCCGCCTGCCAGTGCAGGGGACATGGGTTCGAGGCCTGGTCCAGGAGGGTCCCACGTACTGCAGAGCAACTAAGCCCGTGCGCCACAGCTCCTGAGCCTGTGCTCTAGAGCCCGTGAGCCACAACTACTGAGCCCGTGTGCCACAACTACTGAAGCCCACGCGCCTGGAGCCTGTGCTCCGCAACGGGAGAGGCCACTGCAATGAGAAGGTTGCGCACCGCAACGAGGAGTGGCCCCCGCTCGCCGCAACTACAGAAAGCCCACGCGCAGCAGCGAAGACCCAACGTAACCAAGGATTAAAAAAAAAAAAAAAAAAAAAGTTAATATACAATGCACCTTTACAAGAGGTGCCTGCCTGCATCACTCTAAGTTAACTTTTGAAGAGTTTTTGTTTTCTTTGTTTTTAAACAACATACCGTTTACAAAGCACAAAGGGTACTCCAAGATGTCTCATTA